GTCCCCTGTCTTCGCAGCCTCTTGTTCCCGCCGCGGTCTCTTTTTACCTTCGAGCTTGGAACTCCGCGCTGACAATAAGATATCGGAAGATGTAAGAGTAGAGTTTGCTATGTAACAGGTAGACTGTAGATCTTTGTGCGGGATAATTATTTATTAAATTGATTTGAAGAAATTGATTAAGTGGGAGTGGGTATTGCCTGGGGAATGTTAATAGGTGGAAAATAATTTTATAGTGTTTTGTATTTTGTGTAGTTGTATTTGTCATTAATGCATAAAATGCGCTGTTTAATAATAACTTTGCTGGGGAAGTTCAATTTTTGGTGTGCTTCTTTTATTTTCGTTAGTGGACTTCTGTTAGTTGTTTACTGCCGATTTGAGGTATGCGTAGATTTATACGGAATGTGTAATTCTCTTTTCTTAGAGTATTTCTAAAAGAAACTACGAAGCAAGAGGCTAATGTGAGTATTTTCTTAACTTGGATCCAGTTGAATTAGGCAAGTGTACTTTACAGATTTGAATTTTGATTTTCTTGAAAAGGAGAAATCAAATGGCAAGACTTTATTGTATATTTCAGATTCAATTTGTCATATCAAATCACCTACTTTGCTGATGCTTTTTCAAATATTTACAAACTATTTCGAGAAGCTTGCATTGAACAGGAAGTTGCGACCTAGTAAAAATTGTTGGGAAGCTATATTAAAGTTTCTCAGACTTTACATTTTCTTCTCTGCTGATCATTTGCATGTTTTATAAATACAGATCGTTCACGAAAGTATTTGGACAAGCTCCAGGTATAAGGGGTGATTATTTTTAGGACGGATCCATCAATTTTAGTTTACTAAACACATGCTTCAGACATAATTTAGTGTAGATACCACTTAATAACATAATACTTATCTATTTTTTTAATAACACAACCTACTACCTTCAACAAAATCAACCACATAAAAATTTACTTCTCTAAATTCCTATATCATCGTCTACCAACAGATCACAGAATATGCTAGAACTATCAACAGAATAAACCACAAGATGGCCGAAATCGAATGATATTATCGACTATGTTCAATTACTAAACATCAAGTTACACAGTTTCCTCTTCCAAGCCTAAATTTTCTATTCGAAATTCCACTAGTTCCATATACCAATTTAAATCATAAATATCAAATATGAGTTGAAAACATCACTATTAAAATCTCTTCACAACAGCATGAACACCAATCTAATATCATAGCCTCACACGTGCAAATACGATGATCTCTATTGGACAGGTGAAAATTCTCATTGGTTGAACTTGGCGAATAGGTATCGAACGGCATCACACCAGCGGTGACCGGCGCGGCGCGACGCACCCCGCCGTCAACGCACACAGACCGCCGGCAAAAGTAATTCCGCAGAGGCGGTCTCCTCGAAAACTCGTGTTTATACAGCAGTTGACATCGAACGCGTTTACCCGGGACTGTTAAATCAAGCGCAAAAACTGTTCGGCTCTCCCCCGCGGCGAGCTTTAACTGTTTGAAAAGAGTTGAATGGAAGCCGTTCAGCTTAAGCGGTGTCACCGTGTGCGTGCGTGAATGTTTGTCCGCCTATGGACGTGTGCGTGCGATTCATCGATCTCGTAACCGGGGAGAATGTCCGGCGTACCTGGACCGCTTATATTTACATATTTAACTAACCCAGCCGCGCGGGCATTAACGCGAACGCGGGACGAATATTCTCGAATATGTTAATCCCGCGCGAGACCTATACTACTGCTTTGAATTAACGCGGACACTTCCGAACGATTTGCTGGCGTCGAAGTTTCGGCGTCTGGTGTACAGGATTTCTTCTCTCTCGGAACGATTATTTTGGTGATTGTTTCTTTTGTAAGATTCTGCTGCGAGAAGATTGCGTATTGTTATGGATAAATGCCAGGAGTTTCGTTTCAACCTTTAACGGTCGACAATTTTCTATTAATTCTTTACGAACGAGACAGTCTTAACCCATTGCCTTGCGATAACGTATGAAGTTCGCAGCGAAGATTTTAAACAGAATTTAATAAACATAAATATTACTCAATTCCCATGAATTCAAATGAAATATTATTTTTCCGTTATCAGTTATTATATTTTGAAGCAAGGAAGGATGTATAATATGCGTATGCAATTTTTCTCTTGTTTCAAAAAATTATTAATGACAATGTTGTTGTATCGATCACAGATAAATATGTCATAGGGCAAGAGGTTCTAGTATTTGTTTTCATTAAAAACTGAATTATGCGTCGAAGTCTTAAACACTAAAAGAAAACAAACAACCTGTCAGTTCTCGTTACTTGAATAATTAAATTATTAATTTGCAGCTTTCGATTTCAGATATCGTAGTCGTCATTGCGGCGGTATTCGACCGGAAAGGGTTAAAACTTTGAATGGAAATAGCAAATTTTGCTTGTACAAGTTCTTAATGCTTTTAAGCGTGTGAGTTCATCGTATTTATAAAAGAATAGTGGTTTTATTTTTGTATAGCAATTAGGCGCAATTGCTATCTACTTCTCTAAAAATTGACATCCTTCGGATATTTTTAACTCCTTACTCGACAATTGCACTGGAAATATTCAATACTTTCCGATGTAATATAGATATTCTTTGAAACTAACTAATAAGGCAATATGCATAAATTAAAGATCAAAGCTATTGCATTTCAACATTTCATATACTGATGCATTATATAAAACTTAACCCTTATCACTCCAAAAACATCATAGAATGATTGCTAGTTGCTCCAAATAAATTTTGCTATAAATTAATTTCAAAGGGCAAATTCAATTATGAATATTGAATAACCATAAAATAATATCAAAAAACAGGAACATTTATTCATACATATTTTACTGTTGCAATTGTGCTAGATATATCTGTGGTTGTCAGTGAGACTACCGTTTGCAGTGATAAGGGTTAATATATATAAGACTTTGTAATTTTACTATATCAAATCAAGCGATGACTGAAAATTACCTCTTGAACGCAAAGGGTTGAATATTTGCTATTCATTTTACGTTGTTTGACCATTACCCAGTGTTAATGATCGTTGTCCACGTAAATTCTCAAAAAGCTGAAAAACAATTAGTGACCGTTTTACGTTGGAATACGTCGAAACGATTTCATTACATAATCGTGGCCGACGATGGTTTGTCAACAGCCTGGCATAATCGAGTGAACCGGAACGCTCGTAACGAGGGTCTGTCGAGCGGAAACGGAATTAAGGTCGCTTAACGCGAGTAGGGTCTTTGTAACCTAAAATCCGCAGGCAAAGTTTGGTGCCACTTGGCAGTAGTTGTCCCCCGGATCGCGAAGGCCACCTAAGGTCTCGAGAGATCCTCCACCGGCTGCTAGTTCTTCTGAGAGTGCTTCAGCGTTGTTGTCACTGCGCTGTGGAATATGCGAAAGCGACACTCCTCTCGTTCCCGTCGCGTTCTCGTCGCAACTCTTTAGCCCCCAAGCCAAACTTCGGGTTGTCGCTGATGGGGGTGATCGATGGACTTCCTGAACTACTTTCGAGTCATGGTCGAACGGTCCTCTGCACCTTGTATTTATGGGGTCAAGCGAGATTTTCGCGGTTCTGTTACACCGCGAAGGTAGCCACAAAGGCTTTTCTTTTTACTTTAGCTACTGCTAACTCTAGGTTTAGGGAAGGATGTCAGTCTGTCGCATGAATTTTATAAAATGATTTGTTTACGTTGAGTTTGATTGATGCAATTACACGAATACGTATCCTAACTGTCTATTTTTAAACCTGCAATTTCGAAGATCTAAAAAATGAAGAACTACTAGATTTAAAGGTGCAATATTTTATCCTTATCCTATATACTTTAGTCAAATGGGTATATTGAATCTTAAAAATGAATTATAGTGATTTAGAGAAGTGATGGTCTTAGTTGAGATAAAATTAACGACAGAATATTGAAGTGTATCATTATTCATTTTCGTAATCTTTGACAATCGAGGAATTTCAAATTATTATTACGAAAGATATACTATATGAATATACAAAAAGTATACTCTGTTCATTCATCATTATCTCTATATCTAATTTCACAGAAATTTCTACTCCTTTAACACTTTTAATTCATTCATTGTTAAAGAAACATACGTTTAGAAGAACGAAAACGAAAAATAATTGCATGCATTGATATTCTTCGTTCTAAGATCACTTGAAAGGAAAGTATTAAATGATAGAGGAAGGAAATGCTCGTTACAACCATATCGTGACGGCTGTGGCCAATTATATGTTAGATACGGCCGTCGTAACACGTAAAGAATCTTGTCCATCTGTTAGCACCGTTTGCCAACCTCGAGGTCGTCCAAGCTGGCATTGAGTGAACCACTGACGGATGAGATTTTCCTCGCAGCGTGTAACTTGCTCATGAAAACGAAGGCGTGGCGGGCGTATTCATGGAATAAGAGCGATCTCTAGCGTATGCTCAGAGCAATTTTCCACATTGATTCATTAGAACCGTGTTTCCTGGCATTGATCCTCGGAATACTTGGGTAAACGGGAAGATATAGTGATGATGTAGTCATATTTTTCTCCTTACGCGTGGATATAATTTTTTAATTCCTGTAACGTCGAAGTTTTTCGAGCACAGGTTATTCGCAACGTAACAGCATCGCGTTTGGCAGATTAATATTAAGAATTCGATTCAATAAGTTGTAATACTTGTACCCAATCATTGTTTTTTATATGTTTCGACCACTGTTTTGTTTTGAAGATGTATGTAATCTGCAGCATTTTAGATTATTTTTTAGATAATTTTTGTTAAGAAATAATATTTAAAATAAAAATGGAAAGTATATATAGGAGATTTTTATTTATTTGTAGGTTATATTAATAATTAGAGATTAAATTATCATTATATAATTTTAGTAATTATATTCAACTGCAATTGTAGTCTTTTCTTTCTGTTTTATGAAATGAGGATATATTTGTGTTGACACATAGAGAAAATTAATAATAATGTGTTTTAGGCAATGGGAACTTGGAGTTGTTCGATAGTGAGAGTGGGCCGGATCTCACACTATCACCTCAGACCTTCACGTCGACGGCAGAGGCCTTCATCAATGACAATAGTGATAGTCTTGGTGTTCCAGGAGACAACGATACGGGTGAGTGATAGATACTAATTACAGTATTAGTTATCTTGACAGTATTATATTGCCATGTATAAATTCATAAATAAGCATTCATTCATCAATATACTTCTCTGTAAAAGTAACACATCTAATTAGAAGTATATGATAAAATAGCGATATTACGAAGTAACTGAAAATGAAGTGGAATAAAATTTCGAAATTTCAAAATCTAGATAATTTCTTGACATACTTCTTGCTTTAAAAAAGGCATATAAAATGATAATCCTTCGGTAACAAGTGAGATAGATACATTGGTATTATAAACATCTCCAGTAATGGACATCTAAAAAGAATAGCAACGTTTAAGTAGAATAGGAATGCACGAGTCAGACACGCCTACTTTTAAATCGTACGTGACCAATTCTTAACTTCTTAAAACACTTACTAAATACAATCATATCAAAAAATTCGGTACTTTCACAAAATTACCTAATTTTTAATATCAAAAACTTTACAAAAACAATGTTCATTGAACTCATTCAACGTACATAATGCAACAAACATAATTTAAGCAACAAATCCAGAAACTACACGCTCAAATTTTTATTGAACTTACTCAGAACGAGGAAACGGGGATAGCCCGAAATTTATTAACATCTTGATTGCACTAAAATTCAAACAGCATTAAAATGAATGCGAAGATGGGGTTTGAACGTGGCTCCGCGCATTCGTCGAGAGCAAGACCTTTATCGTCGAGTGTATGTCGAACCGTCCTTTCTGTAATAAACTGCGACAGACAATCCCGTTCATCACACGTCAAAGGGATCCGTTTATTTCCGTCTATTCCTTTTATTCGGCGAAATCGCCTTCGAACAAATCGGATATCCGCACACGGTGGGCGTGACTCTAACCCGATTTTAATTTAATTGAGCGAGAGGACGTAGCGCGTCGATCGTTTATAGTCGTTAAGCAAAGGAACACAGGACAATACATTAACGTAATTGTTGCGCAGGTCGTCAACAGGCACAGTTGAACAGTGAGTTACAACTAGTTCGAACATGTCGGCGGTGGTCATTTCCGTATGTGCGACTGGGTATATAATACCTATTGTTCCTAACAAGTATAAGGGGACCGTGCCGCTTGTACAGTAAGCTATAAAATCTCCGCATTGTTTCCAACGGGACCCGTTTGTACGGTAATCGAGTCGTCTTACTCGAATGGAGACCAGTGACTTGATATATCAATCGGCATTTGAACACCATCGCTCATATTCTTTCGGGAAATCGTTTCCCGGAATGCTAGAGATATCGTGGACGTATTTTGTTTTCCGATTATTCGATCTTTTTGGTTCTTTTGAATTAACCCTTTGCATTCGATGATAATGTTCATTATGAATATACATTAGTTTCTGATGGAATATCGATAATACTGTTTGCAAGTTACGTAATGAAAAATCTTGCATAAGTTAAGGAGCAAAATTATGTATTTTATTTCTGTGTTTTATGTACTGATACCTGATTCGAAATGTAATGCTGAGTCTTTAATTTTATCATTTTGCTGTGTTGAATCAAATGGCGAGGGTTGTCTTATAGTTCTGACAGTTATGAATGTTATAAATAATGCTTTTCCTTTTTATTTTTCTTCATAAGTTTCTGAGTTAACGTGATTTTTGTAAGATATTTAGATAGCTACTGATGTCATGATTAATATTGGTTCTTCATTTCCATATCCTTCTGAATTAATATTGTTATATTCGTGAATTATTTATGAAAAATTTTAGATGTTACAAAAAGATCGTTCCCTACAGATGAATTTGTATTTACTAAAAATCACTCTTGGAATACAAAAATAATAATAACAAACGACAGAATATTTAATTTTTATTGGTCTTACAAATCAAAAACATTCAAATAAAATGGTCGTCTTGTTAAATATATGTATTAAATGAAAAGATATGTCACATATAAATGATTTCACGCTTTTCCTGTAAATGACATTTACAAGAAATTAATCAAATATTATATAATCTGACGTCTTCGAGGAAATTCGTAATTCCGACAGGCCGTACGAGCGCCCCGCAACTTCTCATCCTTTGGCGAGTGATTCATGAGAGCCAAACAAACGAGCGGTGTGGTAAAAAAAATATCGGATTTCAAGGGCCGAGCCAACAGCCGCGTGCCGCGATCTCTGCCAAAATTGTGTTGTCCGCATAGACGTGTCGAGCCCTGTATTCGATATGTTTTTTCTCGGCACACACGGATATCCTAATTGCCGTCGCGTGTCTCCGGGTTTGTTTCCCCTAACAGGGAACAGTTACGAGGAAAGAAAAACACGTGAGGAAATTGGTCTAATGAGCCACTAACGGTAAGATTGATTCGGTGATAGAGGCTTATTACCACGAAATTCTTTCTAAATACGTATAATAACATTTCCTGTAGCCATTGATTCATTTAGTCTCATTTCTAACAACAAAATTGTAGTTAAAGGATGGATCAGTATACTTATATATTGACTCTGCTTAATGTTTTTTTAGTGTCAGTTATTTGAGTCATTAGTTTATATTAGGATTTTCTTAACAATTTATATTATTAGTAGTGAATTTGATTTTCATTATTTGGATGATTTTTATTATGTTATTATTCGGTTTTGAGAATTTTCATTGGAAAATAGCATATATGAATGTTTATTAATTTTGTACTTATTAATGCTATTATAGGATGTAATTATTACTCTGTTAAGTGGTATATCTCCCTAAATTTATTAGCTTCCAATATAATGTTTAATTACATCTCACTTCCACATTCTGAAGTACCTTTAATATATTTCTTTAGTTTGACTCAAAGTACCAGTGTCTACGTTCATGTTCTACTATCTTAAGCAATTTTTTAAACTAGTTGCAGCAAATGTAACTATAATAACACTTCCATAAATCAGTATGCAAGGAATTAACAATATTCGTCAAAAACGTAATTAAAAATACAATCAATGATACATCTTAAAATATTCAGCCTCACTTCTTTCTATGTTACAGTCTTCCCATATTTATATAAATTACTTCCTTCATTCCCAAGGCTTGACTGTATCCCGAAAGGAACGCGGAAGTGTTGCGAAACACCCGGCACACGTGAACTTGATATACGAAACAAATATTGACGGCAAAGCTGAAAATTCCTCGGGTCAAAGCGAGGGAACGATTCGATTTGGACGGTCGAGAGCGGCGAATATTCATCAGCGATGATTTCCAGTCAACGAAACCGGCTTTGTAGCCTTTGATCCGTGACCGGGGGAAAATTCAAACATCGCGCGATCGCGGTAAGGTGTAACTTTTGCGCGGGCGTAAGTTCATTATAACAGTTTTGGGCAACCTCCGCAATGAGCGAGAGGGAACTTCGAAGCTACAGCTGCAGGCGGTCCGTGCATTGCGCGTCTATGAATAAATTTCACAGTGACGATATGTCATTTGCATATTACCTGCTACGTGACGGCCGAACCTTCGTCGCGTTCAGTTCTCCGTATCAGGGTTAGCTCGGTCGGAATGTTTGGCTCGATGAAAATTATACGATCGATGACAGCGACGTTTTTGTTATTCACTACGATCCGTCTATCTTTACGAGCTCGGATAGTGTTCGGAAAAATGTTATGCATACTTCGATCGTTTGTTAAATTATACTAGATATTAAATAAAAGAAGAATAGATTTGAGGGGTTTGTGTAACGATTCTTATCGAGGAATGTAAAAATGGATTAGTTTTTGAAAAGAGTTTTTGTATATCTCGGTCGCTTAATAAATTTTATGCTTTTTTAACTATGAATTATGCCTCTTCACCATTTAGTTAGTAGAAAAGGAAAGAAGTGATGTATTATGTTTTTAGAATTTAGAAAAGTTGAACGTCTTTGTTGGAAATATTCATTTAAACTAATATTGAAACTAATTACTTTTCAAACAGCTTAACCAAATGCCTTTTCATTCAAACCACAAAGACAAAGGGCTAATTAAATACTTTTACCATAAAATTCGAAAACATTCAAAAACTAGGCTCACTTATTTCGACCCATGTATGATTCAATTAAAATCGCACAAAAACATCCGGTTCCAATCTCGAAAATCGCTTCGTGTAATTAGCAATCTTCGAAGTTCATAGTGCCAATGAATCGTGTCCGAATGAATAATAATTCAAACTGCGAAACTAGGTTGAACTCGGCACCGCGTCCCGTTCGAACGAGATTTTCGAATTAATTTGGTAAACTACACCGCGAAACGGGGAAGGAGACGGGAAAAGTTATTTATCGCGTCCGTATTAAATTCCGCGGAACGCCGGCTGACTCGTAATAAGACATCAGACTGGCACGCGGACGTCAGTGGTGGGTAGGGATGAACTTGCGCTGGAAAAAATACGGGGAATCGTTGTAGACAGAGGAATATTGCATTCTTGTGTCGAAGCAATTACTCGCGCCGAGGTATCGTTCTTCTGTCGCCTTTACAGTGGAAACTTTCCATGGCGCAAAAAAAAGCTCGAAAGAAAGAGAAGGGTAGGAAAGACGGTCCAAGGGGGTTGAGAGGGGGTGAGACCGAACAGTGGAGGCGACTGGCAAGGAAAAGAAAAAGGAGGACCACTTTTCCACCACCAACGGAATACTCGAAGCAAAGAATCGTATCTAGGACTCTTCGTTTACCTTTTCTCGTTTCTCTTTTTTCCGCGTGCCTCTCCATCTTCCGTTGCGCGTCGTTTGTTCTCGAAGGAACTTCATTTTCGGCTTTAAGTCGCAATTATTCGTCCCCCCTATTTAGACGGGATATTTCGAAAGGTTTCTCGAGTGATATTAAATTCCCCGAACGACGGGGAAATTCTCCGCGCGCTTTTTGATTCGTGCGAGAGCGAATGTTTTAAGGTTAGATTCACCCGTGGAGATTTTGTCGGTACAATGATTGGCGAGAGTTGTTTGTTTAATTTTGGAAATTTCTCGGTTGATTTTGTGTCTTGGTTGTGGTGATATTAGACTTATTTACTAACTGGAAATGGTGTTTATGACAAA